TCATCAGGAATCAGACGGGCAAGGATTTTACCCATTGCCATTTCGAGAACTCTGGTTCTCTCTTCGAGCTCGGCTGTCCGAGCAGGTTCTGTTGATCTTTCAGGTCGTTCATGCTTTGAATTGCGTGGTCTAGAAGGTCTTTGTCTTGTTCCTGTTGGAACTTGGAACTGTTCAGGCTGGGTTGCATACCCCGTTGGTGTTTTTTCATCATCATCTGTTTCACTTAGGTGATCCTGTTCGACTCCCCCTACAAAAAGATTTCTTGGCATTGGTCTAAAGTCATTCAGGCCGGGCTCAGATACGTGGGCGTCCTCCTGTTCGTCCATTTCATTTCTTGGAGGGCGGCCTCCTCCTGTTCGTCCATTTCATTTCTTGGAGGGCGGCCTCTTGTAAAGGTACGGACCATTTTGTCTTTCAGCAGGTTAAGTCACACAACTTCTTGTTCGAATTCCCATAGATAGCGCTAATGTTTTGGCAGCTTCGCAGTCCAACACTGTTGAAGTCCTCAGCTGCTTCTACACCTGAAAATCCCGAGGTTGTTTTCTCGAGGAAAACACTCCGACGCTCAAGTCAGCAATACTCAGTGTTCTAGAGAGAGACGCTCTCAAGGAGTAATTGCAAAGAAAGAAGCGTAGAGATTAATTACCTTCTTCGGAGGTGGTTGGGGGATATTTATAGCCCCAAGTGTTGACATGTATCTGCACATGTAAGCCTCTCATTGGCCCACGTGGTGCTGCCCACGTGGGTATGTCTCCTCCTTTTGGGCCTGTAGGTGCGTAGTTGGACCTGTTGCGTGTGGCCCTAAGAAGGCGTTCAGCCTAATCCCAACAAGTAGCATATAGTAGCTACCCTCTGACTATGTATCTCCCTCCCCCTAAACTTTTTATTTACCGACATTATATTTATCAAAACCAAAGACGAGGGTAATTTGTCTCATAATTAGATTAAAATAACCTTATAATTGGAATTGAGGAATATCTCATTAGGCCAACTGGCCAAACTCCTTGGTGAAGGTTTCAACTGTGCATCCTCCTCCTCACTCACCCCATCCTCTGTGGGGCGGAAGTGGAACCGACCACTTG